GGTGTCTCCCTGGGCATAGGTCTTGGTGGTCGCGATGGCTGAAAGGGCAGCCCAGTCAGCTGATCTCATCTTGGGGAACGCGGCCACCTGTATGGCCCGTTGTACGGGCTCGACGTCGCGCTCCAGTAACGCGCTGAAATCGCCCCAGGTTCGAACAGCATGAACGCCGAGGAACACCATCATCCATATCAGCACCGGCCAAAGGTGTTGGCCAGCGGGCATGTTCATGTGAACGTAGGTGTTGTAGACCAGACCGATGATCAGGGACGCGATGGACAGAAGGCGCAAGCGCAACAGAGAGTGTTGCCAGAAGGCCAGGAAGGTCAATCCAAAGCTGACATGCCCAAGCAGGTAGAAGATGCCTTGTGAGGAGCCCGATGCGGTAGCGAAAGAAAGCACCGTCATGGCGAGAAATGCAGCCGCGCTGGCAAGAACGATGGGGCTGAACTGCGCTTTTTGAAGCAGCGTGGTGTTGATCGGTGCGGTTTCAGTCACGGGGTGTTTTCACATGGTTTTCGATGTGAAAACTGTGGCTTTTCTGTTTGTGTTTACTGCCTCGAATGAGGTTGATCTCAGTAGCGCTTTCGGTATTTGAGAGTGTTCGCCAAAAAAAAGAGCCCGCAGGCTCGATGGTGCTGGTGACGTGGTGGATTTATTGGGGGATCACCTCTCTGGTTGCAACGGGTGGAACCAACTCGTTCAATACGGGTGGTTTCCAAACCGGACACTCAGCCAGTGGTTTGACAAAATCACTTGCCTCTTGCACCAAATCGATGCCTGTCAAGCTGCACACAACCACCTGTCCGAACATCCTGCCAGCAAAAAACTTGCACTTGGCTGGTGCTTTTCCAGTAGTGCAGGTAGGTTGACCAACCGGAGTTCGAAAGGCTTCGACCTTGACCAGGAGCGCGACAAGCCCCGCCGTTCAGGGCGGGGAAGGATAGCGCAGGATGGCGTAGGCATCCTTGCATTCAACTTTGCGAAGCCGCATTTCTTGGATAGACTGTAATGATGCGCCTGCAAGCCTACCGTTTTGAGATGATTCCGAATGGAGCCCAGACCAGCCACCTGGGTCGTTTTGCGGGTGCCTGCCGGTTCGTCTACAACAAGGCACTGGCATTGCAGAAGGAACGTCACGAGCGCGGCGAGAAGAAGCTGGGTTATGCCGGGTTATGCAAGCTGCTCACCGAGTGGCGCAACAGCGCCGAAACACCTTGGCTCAAGGATTCACCTGTTCACCCACTCCAGCAGACATTAAAGGACCTGGAGCGTGGATACACGAACTTCTTTGCCAAACGCGCCTGTCATCCAAAGTTCAAGCAAAGAGGCAATCCGCAAAGCATCCGCTTCCCCGACCCAAAACAGTTCAGGCTCGACGGGGCCAACGCAAGATTATTTCTGCCCAAGCTTGGTTGGATTCGACTCAGGCTATCGCGCCAGGTAGAGGGTGAACTCAAGCAGGCGACGATCATTGAGTCCAATGGACGCTGGTTCGTCTCGATTCAGACAGAGCGTGAATGCGAAGTGCCGGTTCACCCAGAACAGCAACGTGAGCTGGCACTGGACTTGGGTGCCAGAAAGGACTTCGCGCTGGCGATCAGTCAAGACGGTGCGATGGTCAAGACGCTCAACGCCTACCGAAAGGCAGAAGGCAGATTGAGGCATCTTCAGCGCTGCTTGTCTCGCAAGAAGAAGGGGTCGAAGAACCGAAAGAAGGCCCGGTACAAGGTTGCAAGGTGCCACCAGAAAGTGGCGAATCAACGCAAGGATTTCCTGCACAAGGTCAGCAACATCCTCACTCGGGACTACGGCGTGATCATTGTCGAAGACCTCAAGGTCAAGGACATGACCAAAGCCAAGGTCAACCCCAGGCAGAAGAACAAAGCCATCCTGGATCAGGGATGGTTCATGTTCCGCCAGTTGCTGGAATACAAGGCCGAATGGCGGGGTGGTCTGGTGGTTACGATTGATCCGGCCCACACCAGCACAACGTGCAATGCGTGTGGGCATCGGGACACCGAGAACCGGAAGTCACCGGACAAGTTCCAGTGCGTTGCGTGTGGGCACACGATGCTGGCAGATCAGAACGCTGCCATCAACATACAAAGGGCGGGGCACGCCCGGTTAGCCTGTGGAGAGGACGTCAGTCACCGCGCAAGCGGTGCAGCCTCTGTGAAGCAGGAACCCACCGAAGCCTTGGTGGACTTAATGTCCACCAAGGCCTTAGGAATCTCCGTCCTTTAGGGCGGGGAGGATGTCAAATAATGAAATTCTTGCATGTTGTTCAGCTTAGTTTCCATAGACGAAAGGTGAGTATTCGAGAGTACCGAACATGGCATTCACGCGGTCGCGGTCTTTCTGCTCGGCTGAGTCGCAAGACTCCAGCACCTCCGCATATCGCTTGTGTGCGGTGCGAATGGGGTCAAAGCGGGTTTTGAAGGTGCCCTTCTTGTAGACACGGATCTTGAAATAGGCTTCGACCAGGGGCTTGCATTCGTGAGGTGCCACACCGTCCTGCTCACCGGACATGCAAAGCAAGATGCCGCAAATCTCACCGTTGGGTGAGGCTGAGTCAGATGCCTGCTGTCCTTGCTGCAGGGCTTCTTCCACCCTGGCTTTGGCGTCGTCAAAGTCTTCCTGCGGGGATCGGGCACTGGCGGCAAAGGACAGCGCGACAAGGCATAAGGCGGCGGTCAGGCGGGTGAATGTTATGGGTAGGGGCATGATGGTCTTTCGATGTTCTGTCGCCAGACCTTAATGACCTGGGGCGCTGGTGGTGGTCAGAGCGACTGAACTACGGTAGCGCTACATATCCCGCGTCGATGCGCGATTGTTGCCAGAAAATCGTAAGAATTTCCGAGAAACGTCGCTCCTCAGTGCGGGGAGTGTGTCACTCACCATCGACATGCGTCCATGCATCCGACGCAAAAATTCTCACAATCACACCGTTGCATTTTGAAAACACCAAGCACCCTGAAGTCGTGACTTCAGCTTTATGGGCTTCTATTTCTATTTTGTATTTCGAATCGATCTCAATTTTCAGGTGGACGATAAACTGTGTGTTCATTCGTGTTCTCTGGTAAATTCACAATTTGACACTTCAGCTTATTCCATTTCTAAATCATAAATGAAGCTAAAAAACTCCCAACTATCCATGGCCAAGACACAATCGATGCGATGGTTTTGGGGTTTTTCTCCAACGACCTGAGCGCCTCAACGAGATGGTCTTCCAAGGCGTCAAGGCTTTGAAAGACTTGGTTGTGGAAGAACTTTTCACGCAGCTCGTCCCACACGTGCTCCATCGGATTGAGCTCTGGCGCGTACGGTGGCAGCGTCAGCAAGTAGATGTTGGGAGGGGCCTTGAGCTTGTCGCTGCTGTGCCAGCCCGCACCATCCATGACCATCACTATCTTTTCATCAGGGTGGCGTCGTGAGACCTCGTTCAGGAATAGCTGCATACATCCCGTGTTGACTTGCGGCAAAACCAGGCTGTCGAGTTCGCCGGTACAGACATCGACAGCGCCAAAGACATAGATGTATTCGCGCGTCAGCATTCCCTGACACAGGGGGCGCAATGGCTTGGGAGCCCAGCAGCGACGCACGTCCGAGATGCGGCCGAAGCGCGCCTCGTCTTGAAACATCAGTTTGAATTCTTTGCCTTGGGCCCACTCCTGGCGGATCTTGGTGAGCGTTTCGGGGAGTTTTTTTTCCATTCCTCCTGTGCCACCGGGTCACTTTGCGGGTGGCGTTTGTCCGGTGCGAGCTTTCTCCAGTTGTGGCGGTGCAGCAGGTTGTAGACCGAAGCCAGTGCCACTGTGCGCCCCAATCGTTTGTCCAGTGCAGCCTTTATTTGACCCACCACCAAGATGCCACCTGCAGCGGCGGACTCCAAAAACGGCTCAAGGAACTCTCGCTCCTCTTGCGTGCTCATGTTCTGCCGGTTGCGGCCGCCCCGTTTGGGTGCATCGGGAGCGCCTGCGACTTGTCCATGAATGAAGCGCCTTCGAAGCTGGCATGCCCACCCCGGGGATAGGCCAATAGCCCTTGCCGTCTGGGCAAGGCTCATGGCGTACTCCAGCGGCAATACCACTGCTTGGGCCTGACGCAACTGCTCCACAGTTTGCGCCGTGACGATGGCCTCTCGAGCTTTGAGCAGGATTTCTAGGTCTCCACTGGCTGGACGCGACATACCAATCTCCATCAAGGTTGATTGGGGTGTATTATTTCACTATTGACGTAGAAATGGAATTAATCATTTCTTCCACGGCTTTGCGCGAGTCGGCCATCATGGCATCAATGTCGGCGCTGGTGTAGCCGTTACCGACCCCTGGAATTTGGGCAGAAGTAAATCCTGACCAAAACATTGAAGTGAGAAAAATGAGTTTGAGTTTCATAGAATTTAGCCAAAGTTTTCTGGTTGTTGATTTCGGATATAAACTAGGCGCATAGAATTTTGGCCATGCTGGAGCGGTAGTGACTCATTCAACTTGTCTAATTCCATGCCACCACAGAACCATGCCGTACGAGGTGATCGCAGCACGCTTGGTCTCGTCGTCATTAGAAGCCACTAAGTTGTATCCATTGATCCGTTAGCCCTTGGCAAGCATGTCGTCCAGTTTGCGGCTGCCAACGCTGTTGAATGGGGGAACGATTGTCGTGTCGGCACCAGAGCGCACGGCTGCCTGGGCCAGTGCCGCTTCTATGGCGGCTTTGGCAAACCCTGCAGCGTTGAATCCGGTTGGGCTGTTCTTGTCGGATTTCAACCCCCACTCGGCTGCCAGGGCAAAGAGGTGTTCATCCGTGATATTGTGAAAGTGTGTGGCCATATGCAAAAATCTTGAATTGCAATGATGTTAAATACTCGTTGCATCAATGACTAGAGTTAGCGACTTTTCTTCATCTCGGCTATCGATACCCCACAAGAACTCTTTGCCCTCTGGTACAGTGACGCCATTAGCTTGAAGATATTGACGCAGCGCTGCAAGCACTTCCTCCGGTGTAAACCTGCGTGTGAAGCGTGTTGCAGGCTGTTGCTGATAAACTTGAAACCCGTTCATTTCTCTACCCCTCTGTCTGTCGTGATGCTTCAATCCACGCCTTCGAAGAGGCGAATTTGGAAGAGGTCACCCTGCTCCAAAGCAATTCTGCCCCCCTGAAGCGGGTGGTTTCAACCCGGAATTAGTATTCGATGAATTTTCAAGCATGCCTTCTATTTGCGTGACATTGTTTGTTATGCGCCATTGTTCTGTGCCACGCGCTTCTCGTGCAGTTCAAGAATTCGCTTCATGTCACCCGCCAACCGCAGAGAGTGGCACGACGAGCACACCCTGTTTATAAGTCGCCCCATCCGCTCCCTGTCGGGCACGGTTGCGGGTTTCTCTCCGCAAATCTCACACATCTTTTTTGCCATGTTCAATTCTAAGTTTGTTGCATAACTGTGTCTTTTACCTAGAAACCTTCGGCACCGTTTAAGGCGGCGATATGTTGATTGGTTAAAGGACGATTTTACACTCTCACAAATGCCTTTTCACCATTCATCCACGCCTCCTGAAAATCTGGAGGTGGCGCACATTCAACCATCACTTGATGCCCATCAAAATCAGACCAGTTCATATTGTTGATGGCCCAGTCCTTGATTTCGTAGTCGTCGCTTTCAAACAGTGGGATGGTATCTTCGCCCAAGCTGCGCTCTACATCACCGTCAAATTCAGGTGCATAATGTTCTGCTCTATTTCGAGCAATCATCGCCACAGGGACGCCCCATTTGCTGCCATCCGGCATTTGAATCGTCATTAATTTGTGCATGTCATTCCTTAAGGTTTTCTATCGCCTTTGGTGTGTTTCGCAAGTTATGCCCTCAAAACCGGCGCGTGGCGCAGCGGATGCGCTCATACACCATAGCCGCAAATTCACGCTCCGAGCCAAGTGGCGCGGCACCAAAGGCCTTGTACCAAGCCTGCTCGGCTTCGCGTAGTTTCAGCCGCGCCTCTGTCATTGCCGCTGCGTATTTGTCGCGCTCGGACTGCGTCGGCTCGGGGGCGTTTCGTGGGTCTGCCATCTGTTTCCTTTCCGGCCCGCAGGCCTAACACTTCGTCAATCGGACTCGTTTCGCTCTCCGCTTACTGCGGCGTTTGGCGTCATGGCTGTAGGTCCACCCATTGTCCGAGTAGCGGCCTGTATTTGTTCCGTCTCGAAGGGTTCGCGTGCGCTCAAGTTGATCGCGGCGTTTTAATCTGCCTGCATGGTGTCGTCAGTCATAGTCGCTTTCAGCTCTGTGTTAGGTGACTCGATGGCTTTCATTTCTTCGACGGTGACAA